ATGTGGGATCCTAGTTCCCTGACCAGGAATCAAACCCGCATCCCCTGCATTGAATGTGCGGAGTCTTAACCACTGGACCACCGAGGAAGTCCCGCCCATGTCATCTATTTGAAAACGATGTCAACTTTATGTTAAATTCCTTATTGTTATATTTTTTAAATGGATGAAGATGAGTATCAAATAGGTATTGTATTTAAATTCCACTGGAAATACTTGAGTGATATCACTTGAGTGATATAATTATTCTCTACTGTAAATATAGAGTTTAAAAATACCATAGAAATTGCATCTTTTGCTGTCATTTAAATTTATGGTAAAAAAATGTTAGATGTTGATTTATAAATGAAAGAAAGTACTTAGTTTTTCTAATTATTTTAAAGGCTACACAAGCAAGAAAGTTTGGAGACCACTGCCACCGTTCTTACTCCCAATTAGTACCTGATCACAAAAGCATTCCATTTTTAACTCTGGCATTTTTTATTAAGGGTTATTTCATTTAATCCAATTTCCTCAAAAATATTTTAAGAAATCACTTCGGTTGATTCTGACTAGAAATCATTAAGATAGATTGGGAACATTGAGGTTTTATTTCATTGTTTTCCTTGGTTTGTTAAGTAATCCAAGTTCATATTCTTGAAAAAAGTATTTTTTTTTTTTTTTTTTTGCGATACGCGGGCCTCTCACTGTTGTGGCCTCTCCCACCGCGGGGCACAGGCTCCGGACGCGCAGGCCCAGCGGCCATGGCTCACGCGGCACGTGGGATCCTCCCAGACCGGGGCACGTGGGATCCTCCCAGACCGGGGCACGAACCCGTGTCCCCTGCATCGGCAGGCGGACTCTCAACTACTGCGCCACCGGGGAAGCCCGAAAAAAGTATTTTAAAAGAGGCCAGGAGTAAGCAAAACTCAGAGAGACTGAGAAAAGGGAGAATACAACAAATAAAAATAAAGTAAAGCTACAGTATCACTGCTGATATTGGAGATGGTGGCCAACGGTGGAGTATATTTTTAAAGGACAAGACTTTCCCACTCAAGGAACTTATAGGGCCATAATTTAATTGGCTTCACTCCTACAAAGGATAGGACACTGGCTCCATCAAGTTGTTGAGAACTCTGCAGCCTAAGTGTAGAGCTTCCTCCAAAGTTGCTAGGAGTTCCCTGGTAAGAGTTTCAAGCCCTCCGTGATTTCTTTCAAACCTGAGGCTGTCATGCCAGGTGGTTCAGAAAATGCTCAAGCCAAATGGAAAGCATGCCTGAAATGCTGCGGGGTTTGAATCTGAAAGCACAGGGAGAGAAATGATAGCCTCAGTGGAAAAAAATGTTCAGCAGTGGCTGAAATACGGAGGAGGGAGGAGCTAAGTGTGGCTGTTGATATGCGATAGAGCTCAGCCATTTTCACTGATTGGCCCTATTCATTCAAGTTCATGTCCTCCATTGCAAACAAAGACATTTCAACGTATTTGTCCTTCATGGTCTTTTTATGACACTCTGTGCAGCCATAAACTCAGCAGATTTCATCTGGATCAGGCAAGTTCTGATGGGCAGCCCTGGTGATTTAATGCCATGTGAAATATGAGTTTCAATATTTGTGGACAATTATCTCCCAGCAAGACCAAAATTTCCTCAACACTTTTAACCTAGAGAAGACTTTAAAGACACGTGCAGACTCTGACATTTACACAAGTACATGTTGCTGAGGTGGGCCTGGAATAACGGGGTTAAAGGTGAAATAATAGGCATCGAGGAAAATTGTTGCAGGGCCTGCTAACCTGCAGTGAGTGGCTTCACTCACTGTGGAAGAGTTATTATATCTCTGACTACTCTGTGGATTCCTCACGAGGAGATAGCACAAAGCACCCACTGTGGGCCTATCATCAGGGAAGGGGATAATGAGGACAGCCAGAGAGAGCCACCATTTTACTGTGGCATGTGACAATAGCTTGATTTTTATTGGAGAGAAATTAGGCCATCTCATTGGAAAAACATTAGGGATTCAAACAAACAAACAACAACAACAAAACTTCTACCTGTTATTATTAAATACCAATATATATCCACATGTGATGATTTATACCTCTTTGCTCTTTACTTATGAATTGAAAGAGCTTCTCCATTCCTTCTGCTTTGGGTACTCACAGCCCTTTTTCAGGCAACATGGAGGCCTATAAGATTCTGGCACCATCTTGCTCCTAAGTCTTCCATGGAAAGACTTTAGCCTCTCAGTAAGTTCTATCTTGCTGCAAGTTCCACTTTCAGATTTTTATTTCACGCTCTCTGGATCTGAAAACCTGCAATTTTTGTGGTTCTGAGATCATTGTTAAAATTATTTTAACATTATTATTAATTAATTAAATTAATTTACAAATATTTATTAATTATTTACTCTCCTTATTTTTGACTTGACAGGTTCCATATTGGGGGTGTTGAACCATCCTTGTCAAAACCTGTGTCAATTGCTGCCACATCCAGTTTGTCAATATTACATAAACCAAGGCATCGATTCTTGAATTTTCTCCACTAGATCAAAAAAGTAGTCGCATTCAGCAATGATATATTACTTTTGGAAATGTCAGGTGTAAGTTTTGCCTGACAACAAGGGCCCATCAGAGACTGACGGAAGTCTGTTTTTCAGTATTCAGTTCATTGCTCACTGACTGGTTAAACTGCCCAAGAACTTGGCTCAGCTGCTGCACTGAATGCATGCCTAGGACAGGCCTCAGTGTAGTTGCTGGGTGCTTTTAGGTGAGCCCTTGACAGTTCAGACTGAGCACTTATAACTAGTGCTTTGTGCAACTGTCCCATCTTCTTGTTGGTAAGATCCACCACTCTCTGTTACAGCAGGATCGACTCATTCTCATCTGAGGACAGCGTGGAAAGGATTTTCCCCAAACCCCACCAAATAATTCCAAGAAGCCATCATGATGCAAGGTGGGGAGGGGAAGTGGGGTATATCAGAGGTCAAGAAGTGGGGATGCAAGTAGATCAAGAAAACCAGTGCTAACTCTTATCCTCAAAGAAAATCAGCGTGTCCATTCCCCCACCTTTTCCTCATGGCTGCTAGAGCAAAAGACCATAAGGAACGCTCTGCTCCACCCCTACCCTCACCAAATACCCAAGGCAGGAAGGGGCCTGGGGGATAGGCCTGCGGCATAGATTATTTATCTTCAACAGAGTGGACTCACATACTTTCATCTTGTATTTGCCCAAGGACAGGTCTTTACAAAGGCTTCACCAGAATTATGCAGCTGTCATTCTCCTTAGATCCAGATCCCCTGTCTTGCAGAGCTCAAGGCAAGGTTACCTGAGCTTTGCACCCGTCTCCAAGGATATAATCTGCAAGAATCTAGTGAAGGTCTTCTGGGGGGAAAGAGTGGAGGGGAGG